CCTCCATCCTCAATATTCTCATTTTGCTTAGACTTTTCCTTTGTACTTGCTTTACTTCAACCTTCTTTGCATCAGGTATTCATATATATCTCTTTTCTCTCATTTATGTCCTTGAGAACAGTGCCCATGTGTTTATTTTTGTATTCCCAGTGTCTAGTAGGGTACTATATATATATGTGTGTGTGTGTGTGTGTGTGTGTGTGTGTGTATGTATATATATGTTTATATATATGTATGTATGTATATGCGTATATATATGTATATATATATATACATATATATATATATATATATATATATATATACATAATAGATGCTTAATAATTGTCTGTTGAATTGAATGGTATTGTGTGGGACCAACAGGTGGCAGTCACAATAGCTACTGCTTTGGTTCCTAACTTGGCAGCCAACTCTTACTGCTATCTCTAGCATTACTTTCTACCACAAACTTGGAGGGAACTGAAAGCCAAGATACCTGGTAGAATTAAGGATGTAGCATGCTAGGCATGCCAGAAGGAGGGGATCCTTGGGATGTCCTATATATTCCCCCTTTTCTTGCTAACCTCTGTAGCATTACAATTTTAATATATGCACTGTGAATTTGAGTACTACTCCCCTCATTCTCAAGGAATTTGGGCTTCTACTTGGTCACAGTTGACTACTCTGCTCATGGACGGAAGAAACCAATCTGAGACAGAGACTACATTTTTTTTTTAAAGAAACAGGAATTAAAAAGCAAAGAATAACAGAGAGTAAGGGGATGATTTGATAGACTCAGAGATGGTTAGAACGAAAGGGGTGCTGGGGTCAGCTATAAGAGGATGTTAAATTTTCAGTTTGAGCATTTACACCTCAGAAATCAGCAATTGCCGTAAAACAGGGCTTGATTTATTGTTTTCTTGATTGTCTAGACTTAATAAAATGTTAATAATGAGGGTCAAATTTAAAAGATTGTGCCCTATAGTTTGTTCAATATTTACCAGCATACCCCTGGTATTGCTTTATAAACATTGCTTGAGCTCAGCAAGAGTGCAATAGAAGGCTCGGGGAATGAAGTCATAACCATCCTGGAAGGCTGATGACTGTAGGCTAATAATAATAATAATACTGATAAATGGCATTTCTATAATACCGTAAGGTTTGCAAAATGCTTTACATGAGTTATCTCATTTGAGTCTCACAACCTTCCTGATTAAGAGCTAAAGGGAACCTGAGATGATGGAATCCAAACTCTTCATTTTACAGATGAGGCAATTGAGGCCCAGAGACTTGTCCAAGGTCACACAGTGACTAAGACAGGATTTAAATACAGACTTCATGACTCAGCCCAGTGTTTTTCCCATTACACCATGCTTCCTTCCTGGTAAATATGGGAAAATAAAATTTGAGACTAACCAAATATTATTGAACTGTTCCTTCTAAAAGTTTTTGTGATGGGAATTTGAGTGTAGCAGGAATTAATTCCTCTCCCTGCACCATGCACCAGTGTTGAGATGCTGCATATAAATCATTGCATGCCCTGACGGAAAAGAAATCCTAATTAGGAATAAAGGGGCCACAGATATAGGTCATCACTGGGCATGCATTTTGTAGCACACAGTGACCTGGTACAATTTTTCCTGATATAACAAACTACTTTAGGCTATCAGAGGTGTCCTTTCCAGTCAGGGCTTATACAGGAAAAGAAAGAAAAAAAAGTTTTTCTCTTTTCCACATGACAATGAACACTATTATTTCCTTGATAACAACCCTGTTTGGTAGATAATAGAAGTGTTCCCTCTATAAAGGGAAGTATCCCAATCTATAAAGATGAAGAAACAGAAGTTCAGTGAGGTTTAGTGATTTGCCAAATTTTCCACAGCTTCTGTTGGTCAGAGCTTGTGTCCTGACTCCAGATCCACCTGAGTTCAAGTCCAGAACTCCAACCATAGTGACATCCTGTCTATCTCCATTCACATGTAAAATTATTATTGTTTTGTCCTCCATTTATTTCTTTAGAATTGTTTTTATTCTATCTCCTTTTAAGTTAATTCTTTGTTCCCTTTGATTAGTTCTGCTTGAACTACTTTGCTGCTAGTCTGTTCCCACAGGTTCTCTCCCCTTCACCTTTTCCCATTTGCCAATCTTTTCCCAAGTTCTCCAATTTTAAATTATTATTTTTCTTTATTTTATTCATTTAATCATCTATATTTCTTCCTCATTTGCTCTTCATTTCTCCCTTCAGTTATTGAAGCAATTAGTTCAAAATATCTCATCCCTTCCAACATCTTATTTTTAGTAATTTTATCTTACTATGACCTTTTCTAAGAACTTTCTTTTGTCTTGACCTTCTCGTTGTATATCCTGTGTGTTACCATTTAAAATTGCTGAACTATAGTTTTACTTATGTTTTTTATTAATTGTGTCCCTTGTGTTATTAAAGATGCCGAAGTATCATGTTTGAACTCCTTTTTTATCTTATTTTTATGTTATTGTAGTTAATCAATCAATAAACTTTTATTAAGTGCCTAATATGTGCTAGGCACTGTGCTAAACACTTGTATATATTGCTTCATTCTCCTCTTCCCTCCTCCCCTTCACACTCCTCCCCCCCTTTTTTTTTGCCATGTCTTATCAATTCATGAGAGAAGCATGGTCAAATGGAAGTAGTACCCTACTGTAGAAATTATCCTGTGACTCAAATCAGGCCTCCTGGCCCCATGCCTTGCCCTCACCATAATTGGTCTTCTTCTCAAAGACCATTGCATACCATCTCTGGTTCTATGCCACGCCCCGCTTTGAGTACTGATTGCCCCAGAAAGTCCCATGTGTTTTCTCCTGGGGCCGGATGTTGCTTACAAAGGCATGATGTTCTAAGATCCCTCCAGTCTCGGTGGGAGTTGGGAGCTTAATTTTTATTCCCGGCTGTCCCTTATTTCTTTTGCAACTGTGTGGCATTTTCCTTAGGAAGAAAGTGATGATATCTGGTGGCTTTTTAAATCATTGCAGACATCGACAAGTTCCATTTTCATGCCTTTCCTACTCGTCTGTGTTTTTGTCTGAAGCTAAAATGGCTCACTACTTAAAAATGTGTTCCTATTTCTCCTCCTCCACTCACACCCTATTGTGCCTATTTTCAGCTGTGTACACAGAGTTGACAGCTGGGTGATGGGGAGTTGGAGTTGGCTATAGACAGGAAAGAGAAGGAATTAGGAGATTAAAGAGCAGGGATATCTGTGGGCTATCAAATGGTTGCCAATTAGAAAGTGGGATATCTGACTGCCTAAGCTTCCATCAAACAAAATATGCAAAAGCATGGGCAAAAGAGGAGGGAATTTTGAGGGAAAGGCATGTGTCTCCCCCGGGAGTTGCTAGGGGCAGTGCACATTTGATGAGAGACAGAAGATGTCTTTCAACTGAATACTTTCCATTGGTCCTAAAGATTAAAGCCCAGGGCCCTAGTAGCTCCATGAGATTCACAAGTTGAAATAAGGAAGACAGGGTTCCAGTAAGTTTGTTGGTTCACCATGCTATATGATAGATAGACCCCAGTCTCCATTAGCATCATACTACCCTCCTTGCCTAGAAAGTAATATATAGCCAGAAAATTCAGCACCTGGGGGGAAAATACATGGGATAGAAGGCATGGTGCCTAGGATTCTTTTTAAATGATGCTACACTGTTAGTTAATTCAGCCTTGGTCTCTATACTTTTTCTCTCTGCTTCTAATTCAGTATCATTTTTCTAGGAGTGGGCTATTATATCCTCATGATTATGTCAGAACATCCTTAGGAAAACAGCAGGTAAAATTTTAGGCCTTTGAATAATCAAGAAACTATCTAGAAAAACCTCAAGGACCCCCCCAACAGCCATGTTAGTAGTAGCCATGAAAACCTTGGCTACTCTGATATCCATAAGCAGCATAGGTTCTTGGGCAACATCAGCACTATCGAGGCACAGAGATAATAGGAATGGTCAATGACTCAACTGAGAGAAAAAAGCAGCTCAAATGGATATATTTATCCATTTCAGTACCAATTCCCTCAAAGTGCTATCCTCCAAGATCTTGGTGATGCGTGGGAATGACCCTACTTGATAGTTGTTTATGAATTATAATCCCCCAGACACTTTTCTGTTAAAATTTTCTGTTAGGGGTGAAATTCTTTTTTTCCATGAGGGGTTTTCCATTTTTCAAAAGATAATTTTAACATTTATCTTTGCTTTTACATCTCTATGTGGATAAATGTAGCTAGTAACTTGTTCTTTTACCCAGGGATTGCTGACCTTCTGCGACAAATTCTAGAGGCAGATCCTGCATGAGGAGGAAGCAAAAGAGCCAGCCAGACTGGACAGTTTCCAATGACTGCCTTGTTCTTCTCCTGTTTCAAATGTTGAACTTGGTGGATTGCCTGGGAAGCTGATCCTAATGTGCTCTTCTGTTAATGGGCTGAAGTGATCTCAGAGCCATGGGAATTCAGCCGATGGATTTAGGGCAGGGCTTCTTAAACTTTTTGTGTCATGGACCCTTTGGATAATCTTGTGAGCCTAAGGTCCCCTTCTCGGAATAATGTTTTTAAATGTATAAAATAAAATACATAAGATTATTACAAAGAAAACCAATGATATCAAAATACTTCTTTTAAAAAATCAAGTTCATGGAACCCTGGTTAAGAATCTCTACTTAGTGAATGTCGAGCTTCTGAAATAAAATGCCTAATTAACTAACGGGGTAAGGAGTAACCCTCCTTTTCACAGGCTGGCCAACTACATTGCCTTCACCTCATATCCAAAGAATTAATAAGAGAAACTTCCCTAGGGAAAGCTTCCAATCTGTGCCCTACAAATCACGGGAGCTCATGCTGCACTGTGACCAATGAAATGGGTGGTTCAAGGGCTTTAAGATCTCAGCACCACTAGGTATGCCCATGTACCTAGCACATGTAGAAAACAGATGACTAAAAATTTCCCAAGCTGCTGGTTTTGTTTAAAGGGAGAAATTGGGAAAATGAGAGGCTCAGCCATAATGGACAGCAGTAGTTTTATTCATAAATGATTGAATTGTTTACAGTTTTGCTCACAAATAGAAGACTCCAAGGTGGCTTTATTTATAAAAACAGATTAAGGCAGATTAAGGCCCTTTATCAGAACAGCAGCAACCATTATAGGATATTCCAATGGGAATTGGTTATTGGAACACCTGGGAAGTGGACTGCTAGTGGGAGATTGCTCTTAATCTCTCTCTCTCTCTCTCTCTCTCTCTCTCTCTCTCTCTCTCTCTCTCTGTCTCTCTCTATCTCTCTGTCTGTCTGTCTGTCTCTCTCTTTTTCTCTGTCTCTGTCTGTTTCTCTGTCTCTCTCTCTTTCTAAGTTCACTAGCTGCCGGGAGGGATAAATGGTACCTGAATGAAATGTTCATGTTGATCAAATTAGGGCTTCTCAAGGAGTTGATCCAAAAGGAGGAGAGAGTGGAAAGGGAATTGGTTTTAAGTCTTTTTTGCTCTTGTGGTGAAACTGAGTGTATTGTTTTCAGCATAGCAGGAAAAGAGGCCATGGGCTAACCTCAAAATTGTACCAAATGCCAATTGTACCAATGTATTAAATTTTACAGGGCACCATGTGAAAATGAGAATAGTTGAGGAGCTTTGGAGATCTTAGGGTTGGGGGCACACAGGAAGAGGAGCACAACCTTGGAGTTTTAGAACACATAATTCACTAGCAGTACAACAGGCAAGGGGGATGGGAAGGGAATGTAGAGCAAGGAGCTCATTCTGTCCACTCCTTTTTAATGGACAGATTCCACTCCCAGGTGAGATGGTTATGCTTGTCATCATCAGTGAAGAAGGACTTGTTGTGGTAAGTGCCTCGGGCCAGCATACCCTTGGGGGCTTCCTCTGGAGGTGTCAGGAACTCATACTCATCTAGCCTAGGCCCATAACTGCCAACCATGAATGTAGCTTTGTCCACTAAAAGAAAGAAAAATGCATTAGGAAGATCATCATTTAGAATGACATTGAAGATTACACAAGAGAATGTACCAAATTCTAGACTATTGGTGACTAGGGTTAGGTAGCCTGACAGAGAAGAACTCTGGACTAGTAATAGAATGAATGTCTAGGGACTACTTGGCTACCAATAACAAACTATGTGCCCTTGGGCAAGTAATTTAATTCCTTGGAGCCTATTTCCAACATTGTAAAATGAGTAGGTTGGCTGAAATGATCTCTAAGGGTTTTCTGCCTCTAGAATTTGATGATTCTGTATGAACATAAAGTTGACCATTTATAGAGATAGGGTATTAGTTCAATAATCAGAAAGAACACAAAGAATTGATTATTGCTGTTTGTCCTTCCTTCTGAAAGAGGACCAATGACATCATGAAGGTGAAGTCTTAACTTGCTCATGAATTGGATTTAAGTGAGGCAGAGCTTCACTAAATCATCCGCCTCTCTCTCTCCTCCAGTCATCAGAGTTCAGCAAGACAATGGCCTTGGATACAAGGAATCATAGTTGAAGCCAATCCATGAATTGATGAAAGAAGAGAAGCCATGGATCAGGAAGTAAGATTAGTTACAGTAAGTAGGTGAGTCAGGCCACTGAGAGAAGTAGATCTAAATGATGATGGCGATTTAGAATGATAGTCCAGTAGAAAATAGTAAACAGATTTCTCCAGGTGCTATTAAATGGTCTGAAGGAGTAACTGTAGACCTACTATAGCCATAATTCTTTTTTCCTCTTGCATATCTGACACCATGCTATATCTCGATACACTGCCAAAAGAAGGGACAAGGTTTATTTGTTTGTTCGTTAAAATTATTTTTCTATCATCTATCTATCCATTCATTTTTTCACTTATTTATTTATTTTTGGGAGAGACTGGGCACTGAAGGTAGTCAATCCAGATTATTCAGGACAAAACACATCTCCTTTGGGACTTGAATAATCATTGATTTCCTTTGTTGTCCAAATTCACCAGAGAATCTCTCGATATTCCCGAGTATTCTAGCTTCGGTGTAGACCTGACTTGTGTAATAATAATCTTGCCCCCTTCCATGTGGAAAGGGCTTTTTACTCAAATGCTTTCACATGCATTCACTCATTTTGTCTTCTCTTCACAGAGGTAACATGGGGTAGCAGACTATATACGGAGTTGGGGATATCTGGATTCATGTCTCACTTCTTACACTTACATTCCCTTTCCTTCATAATAATTTTAAATCATAGTTGGAGCATCTGAGGCCCAGAGAAGTTTAATGATTGACCTAAGTATTAATAATTAAGAAGAGACTAACCTCGTGTTCTTTTCTCTAGATAATGTTTACATATTGATAAGAGTTTGGAGAATGGGGAGTCTCTTACCTTTAGCCCCAGTCCTGTAGGTATGCTGCACATATTTCAGCCCTGACACAATGTCCTTGTTCACCTACAAGAAAGAAGTGACCCCAAGTAAGTCAAACAGATAGATATAATTCTCTTGCCTCTCAGTTTTGTGCAGCTGAAGCTTTTCTCTTCAATGTCTTAGCATGAAAGGGATTGAACTTTAGATTAAGGTGAATTGAAAGAGTGGGAAGATGGAGACCAAGGGGCAGAGGATACAAAACCTAACTGCTACATCCACCCCTTTGAGCTTGTCGGTCATTATGTTACACCAAAATATTCACATATTTTCACATACAATATTTCACAAAACATTCACATACAACTAGACATCCCTCATAGAACTGGACTCATGTGCTTTGATTCTGTGGGGAGAGACATATGCTCTGGTTCCTTGCTAAAGGATGTATGAACAATGGCTCATATGGGGTTGGCTTCCAGTCTTTTTTAAGTCAGTATTTTCTTTGTAGCTTTCCTTTGGACTTAAAGAGGTGGTGGTGGCTTTGTCTGTTCTCCCTTCCTTTTCCCCAGTACCTCCCCCTGCCCCAGCAATGGTGACTGGATACATATGGAAGTAAGAATATGTGCTTGCCTAGGCAATTGTGAGACACAAGTCCCTAGATGACTCTTCTGTTTTGTGTTTCTTTCCTTAAGCCTAGATCACTGAACAGTGATCCCGAGAGATCGATATTTCCAACAGACATCTGAGAAAAAATACTTACAGCAAATTTCCCTTATAAAGGTCTCATATCCAATAGGTACAAGAAACTGATTCAAATTTATAAAACTAAAAGCTATTTTCCAACAGATAAATAATCCAAAGATTATAAAAGGCAGTTTTCCAGGGAAGAAATCCAAGCTATCAACAACCATTAAAAAAGAGTTTGAATCACTAACAACTAAAGAAATGGAAATTAAAGTACTACCTTATGCCCGTCACACTGACAAGAGACAAAAGAGAAAAATGATCAGTGTTGGAGAGATTGAGGGAAAACAGGCACACTAATACACTGATGGTGGAGCTGTGAAATGGTTTAGTCATTCTGGAAAACAACTTGTAACTATGTCCAAAAACTTCCCAAACTGTGCATGCCCTTTGACTTATCTATACCACTATTGGGTTGTGCAGCAAGAGCAAGAGTGTGGGAGCATGACCTCAAGTATCATGGTTAACATAAACAGCAAAAAGCAGTTTTATCCCTTGGGAAAACGTTCATGCGACCCTGGGCCATCCCTGGCACCATGCCTTCTTTGTTCTGCTTCTGTATAATATCTGGCCTGGCCTAAAAGTGGTGAGGAGAACTACCATTGTCCTGCTGCTGCACAGGACAGGTCTTGTAGTAAGGTCCCCCAAGTAAAAGCTATTTGCATGTTTTTCTGTATCTCAGTATTCTGTTAGAGGTGGGACCATCTGTCTGGATGGTCTGCACCTTTACATAGGTGTAGATATCAAAGAGATCAAATAAAGAGGAAATGTACAAAAACATTTATAGTGGTGGGTTTTTTTTTTACCATAGGAGCCCCAAACTGAAAACAAATGGGTACTCCCCTATTCGGGAATGGCTCAACAAATTATGGTATATGATGATAATGAAATATTGTTGTAAAATAAATCATTAAATGGAAAATTTCAGAGGAAATGGGAAAGACCTTTATGAACTGATGGGGTGCAAAGTGAGAAGAACTAAGAAAACAATTTATACCACAACTTTATAAGAAAAATAACTTTGAAAAACTTTAGAATTCTGATCAATACAATGATAAACCACAATTATAGAGGACTGAATGTGAAAAATATCACTCAGCTCCTGCCAGAAAGGTGATGAATTTGAAATACAGAATGAGACATACATTTTTGGACATAACTAATGTGGGAATTTGTTTTGCTGAGTTATTATTGTTCAGTGTTTGGGTTTTCTTGGCAAAGATACTGTAGTAGTTTGCCATTTCCTTCTCCAGCTCCTTTTACAGATGGGGAAACTGAGGCAAACAGGGCTAAGTGACATGCCGAGGTTCACACAGCTAGTAAGTGCCTGAGGCCGCATTTGAACTCAGGCAGATGAGCTTTCCTGACTTCAGATTCAGAACTCTATCCATGCCAGCTAGCAGCCCCTGGCTGAGTTATACATGTTTGTAATGAGATTTTTCTTTTTCTTTTTTGTTGCTCAATTGGGAGTGGGAAAGAAAGATATTAAATGCTTTTCAAATAAATATTTTTAAAAGAAGTATACATTTCTAGCTTCAATATTTACTTTGTGAGTTTGAGAGGTCAGTGGGAGGTATACCTTTCTTGGAGGGGAAGATGGCCATGGCCAGGTGAAAGGACTAAGAAAGTGCAACTTAGAACCTGGTCTGGTAGAAGATTTGGAAATGTGAGCTGCTCCACAGCAACACAGATCTGAGATGCATGAATTATTTGTTAAGCTGTCCTACAAAATTGTATTTACCTGTAGGAAGTACATAATAACTGTATAAGTTACTATTTCACATTTTAAATATCTAATGATCACTTATGAGTCTTTATGTTTCAAGCATCTCTTTTTTGGTGGAAGACTGTATTAGCTATACTGTACCTGATATCTACTATGCATTTCAATAATACCCTTTTCTAAAAAGGACCCCAAAATCCCTTCTAGGGGATACTCAAGACATGGGCAGTAGACAGTGCAGTGGATAGAGTGCTGGGCCTAGACTCAAGAAGACTCATCTTCATAAGCTCAAATCCAGCCTCTGACACTTACTAGCTATGTGACACTGGGCGATCACTTAACCCTGTTTCCCTCAGTTTCTTTAACTGTAAAAGGAGCCGGAGAAGGAAATGGCAAACCACTCTAGCACCTTTACCATCAAAAACCCCCAAATGGGGTACAACTCTGTTGTGGAGACATTTTCTAGGTTTCTGGGATGGGAGCAATGTGTCAAAGAGTACAGGAAAAGCCTACACAGGTGGGATTTAAGCTTTCCCCAGGACACTTGGGCCCAGAGCTGGAGTCTCTTTGTGGGATGGACCCCTCTAGGCTAAAGTTGACACAAAGAACTAAAAACAAAATTTCTATACTCTCTCATTTAATGACCCTTCATGGTGAGCTCCCATACATTTAATTATCATCTCTATGCAGATGACTCCAAGATAAGATGATGTCCAGGCCTAGCTTCTCTCCTGAGCTCTAGTTTCACATCTTCAACTACTCTGGACGTTTCAAACTGGATGTCTGATAGTCATTTCAAACTCATCATGTCCAAAACAACTTATAATATTTTCCCCAAACCAGCCACAATTCTAAACTTCCATATTTTTGTCTAGAGCACTTTCTTCCTTTTATTGAAGATGTAGAATATTATAGGTATATTGAATATTTCATATACTGTCAGAAACAGGTGACAGACATATTGTTTAGTTTTACTGAATGCTTTTTTCTCTTAAAATCTTTATTACAAAGGATGACACGCTGAGTAGGGAAGGGAGCAAGAATTTATTTGGAAATTAATGTGTCATAAGAACAAAAGACATCAATAAAAAGATATTTCTTAAAAATTATTTGACCCTGAAGAAACATAGAATGTTTTCTTCCTGAGTTTTAGGTATATGTGTTCTAGTTCTGGTTTTCCTCTGGAGCTAGTCTTTGTGACTAGCCTGCCATATGTCACATAGATTATGTCCACTCTATCTCTGATTTTAAGGTATTTTGCCTTTTTTTTTTCCCTTTAGGCTAGACCTATGATTTCGTGAGCTCCTGGGGAGGAACTCCTTCTCTCCATTCATATCAGCATCTACTCTACAACTTTGCTTTTAAGCAGCTGGGTTGAAGAGAGGGCTGGAAGGGCTGAGTTCAAATCCTGCCTAAGCTATTTACCAGTTGGACCATGGGTAAGTCATTTAACTACTAGGTCGGCCCAAGTTTCCTCATCCATAAAATGAAGGAGTTGGACTCTATGGCCTCCTACATCCCTCCAAGGTCCAGATCTACAATCCTATCATTATAATCTTAGGCAAATGTTTGGGGGACATTGACATGTTCAGTGAGCTGCCCAGGATCACACAGCCGGTATGTATCAGAGGCAGGACCTAAACCCAGATCTGTCTGACTTTATGTTTATCTCTCCATCTGTTGTCCAGATTCTTATATGGGATGGTAAACTTTTTTGTTGGGGGAAAGGGGGGGGCAATTGGGGTTAAGTGACTTGCCCAGAGTCACATAGTAAGTGTCTGAAGCTAGATTTGAACTCAAGTCCTCCTCACTCCAGGTCCAGTGCCACTGAGTCACCTAGCTGCCCTGTGAACTTTTAAAAATATTTTGATAACTATATTTCAACATAATTGGCTTTCTTTGTAGTCCTATGTATTTTGTTCTATGCGTTTCAACACACTATTCTCTAAAGAGGTTTGTAGTCTTCACTGGACTGCCAAAGGGGTCCATAACACAAAAAAGGTAAGAATCTCTCTTTCACTCAATGGTTTAACACTGGTCATTTAGAAAGTCTCCCTTACACAAGTTAGGTATATAATTAGAAAGTGCATAGACCTAAAAGGGGAGGGAGGATGAGAAAGTTATTGCACACTTAGTGTGAGCACTGAGTCTGGAACAAAGGCTAGCATGGCAAATGTTTCTTTCCCTGTAAATAAAGCACTGGTGATATTCTTATGGATTTAGGCTCTACTTTCCTCTCTTTCCCATTTTCCTCCTAAATTTGGCACTTTCATTCAGCTTTTCAATGAAAACCTGCTAGTAAATTATGAAAACTTTTTCATTACCTGGCCCCTTTCTAAATTTCCAGTCTTCTTGCACTTTTCGCACTTCTGTGATCCATGACCCTGGCCTTGGTGCTCCTCAAACCCCACCCTCCATCTCCCATCTCTGGGCCTTTGGCTGTTTCCCATGCCGGTATGTTCTCCTTCTTATCTCAGTTTCTTAGTTTCCCTGGCTTCCTTCAAAATTAAATCTCACCTTCTACCTAAGGCTTTTTCCCGGTCCTCTCAGCTGCTAAGGACTTCACCTTCCATCTCCTCTGTAAATCTTACATGTACCTAATTATTTCCATGTTGTCTTCCCCACTAGAATAGGGGTTCCTTAAAATGAGAGACCATAGTTTTACCTTTCTTTGTTTCCCAAGCAGTTAACATGCAGCCTGACACAACTAGTGCTTAATAAATACTTGTTGGTTGATTAAATTCAAATTTTATTAAGCATCTATTAGTAAAATCATTTTAGAAAATAATATTGCAAAATAATAAAGCTACTAGGGTTATACCCAAAAGGAGGTAATTGGAATGAATAAAGTTCTATTTGTACAAAAGTATCCATAGCAGGATCTGAGTTATTTTTTAAATCACTGTTATTATTGATCTGTACCCAGGGCCAGATCTTAGTAAAGTGGACCTAAGTGCTTTTTTGATTTTAGTTTTCTTCCCTTCCTCCCATTCCCCCAAAATATCTTCTTTTAAAAATTCATTCAAAATTACTTATTAAGCGCCTGTTATGAGTACTGGGTCAGTTTATTAGCCTTATGAGTACTGGGTTCACTTACTAGGTTAGTGCCCTGAAATTTCTCAGAGATTTATTTTGTAGGTTAAGACCGTTGTCTCTTTTAAAAAATTCAAATACTCTTGGTAGGAATAATGCATTTGCTCCATTCATCACCCATTCTGTACTTCATCAGATCAGCTAGCTAACAAGGTGACCTAAGATAGGTCCATTTTAATTTGGGTAAGGAAACGTGATTTCTGTAATATAGGACAATGTCAGAATATGACAGGTTCAAAGATGAATTGTAGAAAAAAAAAAGAATTGTACCACCCCAAAACAAAAATAAAAACCTCCACTAATTTCAAAATTTTACCTCTGTCTTAGTTCTGCCTCTGTGGCCCTAAGTGGGCCTCCTGAGAGGATTCAGTCTAGATGATCTGATGAATCTGTGTAGGTGGGGACAAAGTTCTCACTGATTTATTTTCTCTGCTGGTTCCTTCCTTCTTCCCTAGACCACACTCCCAAACAGAATATGCTACCCATTCCTGGAAGCCACACCCAAGAGATTCATCACAATTGAGTTGTTTAGATCTCCTATGTCACAATCTCCTAATTAAGTTATTTCATGTGTTTTTGATAGTTTGATCATTTAGATTTCATTGATCAGATGTCCAAAACCTCAGCTGACAAATGTTCAATGATCTATCATATCACATGATAATAAGATCATAAACTTAGAGGCCTTAGAGGCCATGTAGCCCAACCCTCTCATTTTACAGATGAGGAAACTGAGGAATAGAGATCGTGAGTGACTTTCTCAAGATCATCCAGCTAGTAAGTACACAGCTAAGATTCCAACCTAAGTCTTCTGACTTCAAATCTAACATTTTTCATTATACCATACTACCTCATTTCAGGCCCTAAATTAATCCCATTATCTAACACTTTGTATTGGATCACACTGCTTCAATTTAGTCCCCCAGTTATTCTCACTGGAGGGAGTAGGTGTTGACAGAAGCATGTATTATCTGCATTAGCTGGTTACTATTCAGTTTGCCCAAATAATGATAGATCAACCACACTTCAGGTTACTCTGCTGCATAATCTTGGAATTATCCTTGACTTTTCTATCCCTCTTGCTTCTACCCCTCTCCTTCCAGTAGTTCCCAATGCCTATTAATTCTGTATCTCTTGAATGTACCCCCTTCTCTCCACTTATACAACCTATATCCTAGTTCAGACCTCTTTCCTGAACTATTTTAAGAGCCTCCTAATTGGTCTCCCTGCCCCCAGTCTTTCTCCTCTCTTCAACTCTACATAGCCATTAAAATAACATTCCTCAAATACAGATCTTGGAGGCAGGGTGGTATAGTGAAAAGTATGCTGGATTTGGAATCAGAAGACCTGGGTTCAAATCCTACTTCTTCTACTTACTACCCGTATGACATTGGACAACTCACGTTGCTTCTCTGGCCCTCAGTTTCCTCTTCTGTAAAATAAGGGTGTAAGACTAGGTTCTTTCTGGCTCCAAATCTATGATTCAAAGATCCATGTCACCCCTTTATTCAAAAATCTTCAGTGGCCACCTGATGCCTCTAGTATAAAATACAAAACCATCATCCTGGCCTTTAAAGCCCTCCACATTCTGGATCCCACCTACCTTATATCTGATCCAGTCAAACTTCTTTGCTAGCTATTCCCCATATGTGACAATCCATCTTTCACTGGAAGTGGAGTGCCTTTGCATAGGTGGCCCCCCAAATCTAAAATGCCCTATCGCTTTACCTCCCCTTCAGAGTATCTCTACCTTGAAAGCATAGCTCAGGTACCAGCTCCTACATAACACTTTCGCTGATGTTCTCAATCATTAGTATTCTCTCTTGGAAATATTTTCTATGATACTTTTAATTAGCTTCACTTCAATCAGTATTATTAAACTCCTACCATGTGCCAGCCACTGTGGGAGGTGTTAAGGATGAAAATCAAACAACAAAAAAATTGAAACAGTTCCTGCCTTCAGGGAGGTCACAATCTAGGAGTATGCAACATGTCCAGAAGTAAGCACAAGTACTCTTCTCCTAATCTAACTGGAGAAGTTACATGTATACAAATAGTCACATGTACACAAATTGAAGGTGGGCAGTACATGAGAAGTGCCACATTAGTGGTACAAATCATTGTGCATCAGGACTCAGACAAGTCAATGATCATCTCTAGTGAAGAAATCAGTAAAGCCTTTTTAGAGGAGGGGAACATTTGAGCTACTCTTTGAAGGATGGGCACAATTACAAATCATTGTGCATCAGGACTCAGACAAGTCAATGATCATCTCTAGTGAAGAAATCAGTAAAGCCTTTTTAGAGGAGGGGAACATTTGACCTACTCTTTGAAGGATGGGCACAATTCCTTTCATCATCATCATCATCATCATCATGTTCCTGTTATGTTACATTATTATGCCTTTTGTTTTTTATTGCCTTTGTTTTCAAATGTGAAACTCTCTATATCCTCGAGGGCTACTCCTTATAACAAAGAATAAAAGATAGAGGTGGGAAATATCAATTTTGGAAAATTAACCAACACAACAACAGAGTCTGACAGCATATACGATGTTCTACCCTCACTACTCTCAGATAAGCAAAGAAAAGATGAAGATTCATCTTCTCCTCTCTTCTTTAGGGGTAAGCTTAATGTATAATTATATATCATTAAATTATGGGCTTCTTGTTGTTTCCATTCATATTGCTGCAGTCATTGTCTATATTGTTTTCCTGGTTCAGCTTACATTACCTGGCATCATTTCATACAAGTCTTTTCATTCTTTTCTGCATCCTTTTAGCCATTGTTTCTTAAAACACAGTACTATCCAATTACGTTCATGTGACATAATTTATTTAGCCATTGTTCAATTGTTAGTCCCTACTTTGCTTTCAATTCTTTGTTACTACAAAAAAATGTTATACATATTTTGGTGTATATGGGAATTTTCTGTCTACTTTTTATCTTCTTGATTTATATCCCTGGCAATGGTACCCACAGATCAAAGGATGGGGCCATTTTTGTCATTTTTCCCCCTTGCCATTAATTGTCAATTGCTTTCTAGAATGGTCAAGCCAATTCACAACTCTACCAATAGTGTATTAGTCAGTGGTGTGTTGGTAAATGCTTAATAGCAAACTCTCTGGGGGAAAATTATGTACAACACACTTTTAAGTTTAGTCTTCATTATTGACATTTTATCCATCATTTTCTTAAATCTAGACAATCAACAAAACATTAACTCAAGCCCTGATTTACAGCGTTTGCAAGTTTCCAGGGTATAACTGCTCACAGGAAAATTTAACAATTGGCTCTCATAAGCCAGTTAGAGCTGGCTCCTGTACATCCCTGGTGGTGTGCATGACTTTCTACAACCCTTGATGGGTTTCATTTCTATAGGCAGAGGTGTCTCAGGTGCAGTGGGAAAGGGCATTCCAGACAGAAGCAGGGCAAGGCAAGACATAGAGATCCTTAAATAATTTACACATCATAAAGACCAACATCCCAACTCAAATTACTTACTTTGAAATTAATTTTGACTCTATATTCAGCTCCTTCCTTTAGCACAAAGACCTTTTTCTTGAGAGCTTCAAGATCCCCTGTGGAGGCAGATTCAAAATGATAATTTATGGTCATGGTATTATAGAGTTTAGAAAGGGAAAGACCTCAGAATCACCTGTCAATTCTCATCACCTCTTTTTGCAGATGAGAAAACTAAGGCCCAAAAAGAATAAATGTGTCATCCATGTATAATATAGTTAACACTGATACAGCTTTAAAATTTGCAATACACTTTATATACATTATCTTTCTGTTCCTTGAAAAAGACACTCCATCACCTAACTCAATGCTTTTTCACGGACTGTCCTCCATTTCTAAAATTCTTTTTCTCCTTATTTCCACCTCTTGGATTCCCTGCTTTCCTTCAAGTCTCAACTAAAATCTCATCTTCCACGGTAAGCCTTCTCTAGCCCTGCTTAATATTAGTTACTTCCCTCTGTGATCATTTCCAAATTATCTCATATATATCTTGTTTGTATACAGTTGTGTGTCTGGTATCTCCCCAATTAGAACATGAGCTCCTTGAAGGCAGGGACTGGTTTTTGCCTTTCTCTGTGCTCCAGAATACATATATAGAGATATATAGATATAGATAGATAGATAGATAATAGATAGATAGATAGATAGATATAGATATAGATATATGGATAGGTAGACAGATATAGATGTACATATACACATATGTAATATATATATATATATAAATGGTGCTTAATAAATGCTTGTTGACTTATCTCATATGACTTGTTGACTTTATCTTACAATACCCCCTTGACATAGGTGTTACTATTATCTTCATTTTATAGAGAAGGAAACCAGGGCTCAGAGGTAGAAAGTGATGACCCCATGGTCACACAGCTAGTAAGGGTCAAAAGCAGAAGTCAATGCTAGTTCCCTCCTGATTCCATCCCTAGCACTCTTCTCGTGACACTATTTCTCTAGTAAGTAATCAGGATTCATATATAATATATGCATATACACCATATATATGTATACACATATACTGAATAGATACACATACATATAATATATACACATATACAATAGATATACACATGCTAAATAGATACAAAATAATTTTGGAATAAGAAAAAAGACAACGCCAATCACTGGGTTTCTGGGGGGAGTGAGCAGGGTCTTGGACCAGGAAAAGGCCTCAAGTAGGCACCTTAGCTGAGACTAAAAGTGAGTCGGGTATTCCAAGAAAAGAAAGTGAGAAGGGACAACATTCCAAGCATTGGGGCCTGCCTGTGCAAAGATAAGGAGGTGGGAGATTGAGTACCATTTATAGGTAATAGTAAATAGGTCGTGTGGGTGGCGTAGGGTGTGTGAAAGGAAGTGATGTGAATCAGTACAGAAAGATAGATTGGAGCACAATGTCCAACAGGGGTTTACAGTTTATCCTACAGGCAATAAGGAACCATCGAAGCTTGAGCAGGGGAGTACCATGGTCATCTTGTTAATTTTGTAGGTGTGAGGAAGATAAATTAGAAAGGAGATAGACTCTCTGGTAGATCTGTTAGTCACTGATATATCAAGTTGCAGCTTGCTAGGAAGAGAAAAATACTATTTTCTTTTTCTTTTTCTTTTTTTTTTGGTAGTTTAAACAGAGAAATGGAAAACTATCCATTGTTCTTCTCTGCTATGTGAGTGTGGCCTTGCATATCTTTAAACATAGTGAATACTTTTGGCTGAGTGAATAAAAACTACCATGTGGGTTGTATTATGCATTTCTAGGTGTTTTTCCCTTAATTTCATTCTGTTCTTGACTGACCCTATTTTGTGAAGTGAAAGCTGCACCTGATAACAGTTAGAGTATTTCACACAGGAAGAGGTTAGTTACAGTACCAGTAAGAGAGAGAATTTCTTTCTGGGAGAGACACACAGCATTTTGGGGTAGTTGAGTTTGCAGTATTATGCCTTGCTCTGGTGGTTTCAGTTGAACAGGAAGTATATCTGCTCAATTTCTTATTTCCTCCCTCAGGCAAAATGTCCTTATAGGGTAAAGTGTGGATCTTTACAACTCTGCCCTTACACCTCCACCAAGCCTATTATTCTAGAATTGTCTATTCACCTGTGTCATAAGAGTCTGACCTTTGATTTGAGGCTAAGATATGGCCTCACTCTTGGCACCAGGCAAAACTGAAGCATGCAGTTTGTTTTCTGTGCCCCTGCTCTTCTTGGCTCTAAAACTTTCCTGCACCTCCTTTAGGTGTGCATGGTGTCCTCATGCTCTCAACCTCCCCTTCTTAAAAAAACAAACAAACAAACAAACAAAAACTTAAGACTCAGAAAAAGACCTTGACTCATTCACAGCCTTATAATGAGAATCTAAGTGGAATTACTCTTAATTTTATTCCAAGTTTGGACTTGACCTCCAAAGTCCTTCTGGCTCTAATCTATTCAGTTCAGCTCAGTTCAATTGAAACAAACAATGATTAAGCATCTACTATGCACAGAGGCAGCTAGGTGGTGAGTGAATAGAGTGCTTGGCCTAAAGTTAGGAAGACCTGAGTTCAAATCTAGCCTCAGATACTAGCTATGTGACCCTGCACAAATCACTTAATGCTGTTTGCCTCAGTTTCCTCACCTGTGAAATGAGCTGGAGAATGAAATGGTGAACTCCAGTCTCTTTGCCAACAAAACCCCAAATGGCATTAGAAAGAGTTACACGTGACTGAAACAACTGAACTACAACGATGTACGAGGACTTGTGCTAGTTTGTGGAGATACAAAGCCAAGAGCAAAATGGTCCCTTCTCTCAATAACCTTGCATTCTCCAGGAGAGGGAGCACAACATGTAGCCAGATAAGTAAATAAAATGTATAGTAAGATGAATTTCCAGAGGGAGAGAGTAGTAATACTGGAAGAAACAGGAACAGCCTCCGATAGCATGAGGCACCTGATGTGTGCTTTCAAGAAACTATCTAAGGATTCTATAAGACAGGGGTGATGGGAAACTACATGGCAGACATGGGAGGACCACTTGTGCAAAAGTATGGAGGTAGGAGATCAGAATGGTCCGCACAGAAAACAGCTACTAGGATAATTTGACTGGAAGAGAAAGCAGAGAGGTAGGAGGAGTAAAATGAAATACCAATGGGCTAGGCTTAGGATTTTGTATCTTATCCTAGAGTCAACAGAACCAAGGAACTGGCATCTTTCCAAGCCCTGAAGCCTAAAGTTAAATCTAACATAGTGAACTTTGGGGCATTATTAAAGAAGAGGTGGAGTTACTGGGGAGGCAGTAGGTTTTCTCACCCCAGAAACCATATCATTTCTCCCATCGGGGTATATATAGAGTGTATTAGGTCTGCCCTATGTGGCCTCATTCAAGTGCACTGCTTTCCTTAAGTTTTTGTAAGGTTTATTCTTAATAAATACAACATTCCCAGAGGGAATGCTCAAGTAATTGCTGAATTGTCTACATTTTTCCATCAGCAGCCTTGCTACGTGAAAATAAATTCTTTTCTCATTTTTCTGAGAATAATAGAATGAAGTCAACAGGAAGGTACAAATGGTTTTACTGTTCCAATCCTAGCAATTTATTTAAGTAGACAGAAGGGCAAGTCATCACAGAGGTCCTTCTTGAGTTTGGTATGACACTATGCATTCTGTGGATGATAAATTGTTAACTTATTCCTAACAACCTCTATATGTCACAAAGCTACTTCTCTGGCTTCTTTGCTACAGAAAATCCACTGATAACTTGTTTCTTGTATAAAGAGCTTCCCCAACCACCTCCCCAGACTCTCAACAAGTCCATTGGAAGAAGGTAAATGTATTTACTTACCAGTAAGGTCCATAGTGATTGGTCCTGGGGCAGTGTCACAGACTAGGGTGAGTCGAGTGACTACTACATTGGGAGCAGTTGGATCTGCAGAATCCGAAAAAGAATATTAAGTAGTTGATAAAGGCATAGAGATGAGAGATGTGTGTGTATGTGTATGTGTGTGAGAGAGACAGACAGAGATATAGAAACAGAGAGAGATGGAGACAGATACATAGAGACACGCATGGAGAAAGACAAAAGAGAGACAGAGACAGAGGGATAGAATATGTTGGGGGTTTTTTTCTGTGAAAACAGTTCAGTTCAACCAACATTAAATGCTTACTATGTACTATGCTCGGTATTGGAAGCAGTGGCAATATAAAAATGAAACAGTCCCTGTCTTCAAGTGGGTGGGGGTATAACACACATATATAAAAGTAAATTATGGGGCAGCTAGGTGGTGTGGTGGATAGAGCACTGAGCCTATCAGTCAGGAGGACCTGAATTCAAACCCGGCCTCAGACACGTGACACTTACTAGCTGTGTGACCCTGGGCAAGTCACTTAACCCCATTGCCTAGTGCCCCCCCCAAAAAAAACCTATAAAAAAGTAAATAATTACAAAGTATGAAAAAGTAGGGCATAGTAATTTCAGGAGGGAGAAAGTACCAATAGCTGCCCTGTAGGGCAGCCATGCTGAGCTTTGAAGGAAGCTAAGGATTCTACTGGGTGGAACTGAGGGAGTTAACTCCAGGCATGGAAGAGTATATGTCCAAAATGCTGGAAGCCAGGGATAGAATGTCATGTTTAGGGAGCTGCTAGCTAGCAGGGCAGTTTGAATGGAATGGGAAGTAACATGAAGTAGGTGGGAAAGGCCATGAAGAACACTTCATCAATCAAAAATGCTAAGTGTGAGGGTCATGAGGAGAGGTCTACCTGGATTTTGGGGGTGAGAGAAAGAGAAGAAAAAGAGGGAGAAAGATGAAGAGAGAAAGAGGAGAGGAAGATAAGAGGCTGGGGAAGAGAGAGAAAAGGAAAGTTTTATTTCCAAGTGTATCTCCAGGATACTTTCTCTATATGCCACCTAGTTATACTATACACACACACACACACACACACACACACACACACATGCCACCTAGTTATTTGTACCTAAAAAAAGACTGATCACATTATTAACCCTGCACCACATAATTCAGTGTAGGGCCTTTTCCCAGGGGCATATCCCTAAGGACCACTGCTTATCAGTTGCTCATAGTGATAGCAATATACCATCCAAAGATCCCCACCACATACCTGCTACCACAGGTCCATCCCCTAGCAGAGTTTTCTTGTATTTGGCAAGACTTTCATCATCTTTGTCCATCTCCTGCAGCTCCTTCAGAGACTTCTGAGGTGGGGGCTTGTAATTGAGCTTGCCATCCAGTTCCTCCTCCTCCTCCTCCAGGTGTGTTTCAGGGTCCTTTTCTGTCATTGTGATCTACTTCACAGAGAGGGGGGACAAGTGGTTAGCCAGAGGAAACAGTCAGCAGATGTGAAGGATCTACTCTCAGCTATGAGAATAAGAGAAGTCAGTTCAATTCAACAGGAATCTAATATGTACTAAGTACTATGCAGATTATTTGGCACTGCCCTCAAGGAGCTTACATTCTATTGTAGATGTGGGGGTGGGGAGGAACAACACGTATACAAATAAATGGATAATACATACAAAATAAATACAAAGTGGCTTTATGGGGGTTGCAGCAGGAACAGTAACATCTGGAACAGTCAGGAAGGGCCTTAACTAAGTCTTAAATGGAGTTAATAATACCAAGATGAGAAGGTGAGGAAATAGAGTATTCCAAGCATGGGCTAATAGCCTGTGCAAAGATGGGTAATTGGATGCTATCCGCAGAGAACAGATAGCAGGTTTATTTGGTTAAAATACAGAGTATGTGATGGGGAGTAATGTGAAATCAGTCTGAAGAGATTTGCTGTGGGGCAGCTAGGTGGCATAGTAGATAGAGCACCGGCCCTGGATTCAGGAGGACCTGAGTTCAAAGGTGGCCTCGGACACATAACACTTACTAGCTGTGTGACCCTAGGCAAGTCACTTAACCCCATTGCCTAACCAAAAAAAAAAAAAGAGAGAGATTTGCTGCAAACAAATTGTGAAGGGTGTTCAATGCCAAACAGAATAATTTGAACCTTATTCTAAAGGCAGCAGGTGGAAGGAAGCTCATGGGATGATGGGGGAAGAGGGGAGGATGTGATATTTTAGGAATCTATATAGGGTATGGGCAGCTAGGTGGCACAGTGCATAGAATGCCTAGAGTCAGGAAGACTCATCTTCCTGAGTTCAAATCTGGCCTCAGATGCTTCCTAGCTGTGTGACCCTGGGAAAGTCACTTAATCCTGTCTCCCTCAGTTTCCTCATCTGTAAAATAAGCTGGAGAAGGAAATGACAAACCACTCCAGTATCTTTGCCAAGAAAACCCTAAATGGGGTCATGAAGAGTCAGGCACAACTGAAAAATGATTGAACAACAAATATTATTTGTGAATTTATTTTGTATACTGCTGCTCTGTAGAAGCTATTTTCTCAGACTCCTAATTTTCTGGAGTTTTCTAAGTCATCTGCAAATAATTATCTCTTCTTTGTCCATGTTTATCTGTTTAATTTCATTATTCTTCAATACTGCTAACTTAGATATCTGTATAGCCTATCCAATGTAAGCAAATGTAAGGACAGTAGTTTGGTGATGCAGTGGCAAGAGTGGTAGACCTGGAGAAAATGAGGCCCAAGTTCAAATCTGGCCTCAGGCACTTACTACCTATGGATGGTGGGCAAGTCACTTAACCTATCAGTCTTAATTTTCTTACCTATAAAATGAAGGATTTGGACTCAATGGCCTCTAAGGTCTTTATCCCTCTGTTTATGACTCTATGGCTCTATTTGTCAGATCATGGCAAGGGGAATAATAAGAACCTGAACTAGGGCAGAAGCAGTGAGAATTTACAATATAGAGGAGATAGACAGGAGATTTGTTGAGTTGAATCACTGAGAATCACTACATGACTTTTGGTTCCCAAGAAACCAGAAACAAAGTTAGGGAAACAATTTGGAAATTAAACCAAACCTCAGACTTGAAGAAGGACCTTTTTACAGAATAATTTTTAAAAAACATCCTCCTCCTACATATCTTGGCTCAACAATTCCTTTGCAGTTAGATTAGCAGGACAATAAAATGTCAGTGTTTCACAACTCAGAAAACAGCTCTTATTGCAGTGCTCAGGTCTGTTTCCTGTAAAGGAAGGAAGCATGTGGCTTATTCCTGCGGTAACTCTTGCCTTAGCTTGAGAACCATTTACAACTCAAGAGTTTTGCTTTTGGAATTTAATAGAAATAGAGGTCTTAAACAATCAAGTCACAGAAAATGAAATTTAACAAGTCATGAAGGACATACCAAAGAATAAAACAACTCTAGTCTAAGACAGATGTAAAAGAGAATTTTATCAAATATTCAAAGATCAATTAAAAACCTCTGCTTCATAAATTATTCACAAAACAAAGCATTATACAAAATTCAATTCTAGACAAATATGGCTTCATTAGCTAATCCATGGAAGTAAAGAAAGAAAACTATAGACCAAAACTGCTAATTAATCCATTAATGAGTACTGATGCAAAAATGTCAAATAAATTCCTAGCAAAGAGACTGTTTATCATAACCAAGTTGGATTTATGTTAGGGATTCAAGGTTGTTTCAATATCAGAAAAAGTTAACATAATTAGCCACATAAAAATAAAACTATGATTACATCAAATGCAAAAAATGTCCCCAAAATACATTTATTCATGCTTAAACCCTAAAAAGTATAAACATGCAAGAGGTACTTTAATGATAAATTATATAAATATATATATGTATATTATATAATATATACACACACACAATGTGTGTGTGCATGTGTATGTGTGTGTATGCCAAAACCTAGCATTATTTGCAATAGGGAAACATTAGAAGCTTTTCTAATAAACACAAGGGTAAAACAAGGATGCTCCCACTCCTCACTATTTTTTAATGTAACTCTAAACATGCTAGCAATAGTAATAACAAGAGAATGAAATTAAACAGATAAACATTGACAAAGAGGAGATAATTGTTACTATTTGCAGATGACTTAGAAAACTCCAGAAAATTAGGAAAGAGTCTGATTGAGACAGTAGCTTCTTTAGAGCAGCAGTATATAAAATAAATTCACAAAATTGTCATTATTTCTATATAGGAATAACAAAATCTTGGAGACAATAGAGAAAACTCCATTCAAAATACGTACAAAATGAATAAAATATTTGGTTATTAACCTACCAAGGCCATTCAAGATCCACAAATACAATTACAAAGCATAAAGTAATAAATAAGAACAAAGAATTGGAGGTGTATTCATTGCTCATGGTTGAGCCATTTCAATAGGATAAAAATGATCTTACTAAGTTAATTTACAAATTTAATGCTATGCCAGATCAAGTTATGAAAAGGTTGCTTTATAAAGCTAAACAACATAGAATTGTAAGGAAATAAAAAGGAAATGAAGGAGGAACAGAACTTTTAGACCTTAAATTACATTTTGAAGCAGTAATCATCAAAACTACTGGTGCCAGTTCAAAAATAGAGAAATAGATCAGTGCAACAGAATCACAATCAAACTTAACAACCCAACTATTGAATAAACCTAAGTATATGAACCACTTGATAAAGAACTTTCTATTTAACAAGAACTACTGAAAAAACTGAAAAATAGTCTGGCAGCAAGTAGGTTTAGACCAATACTTTGGTCTAAATATACCATAATAAAGCTCAAAGTGACTATACAGTCTCAATATAAAAGGACACTTTAAAAAAATAGAGGGAAATATGATCATGTACCTTTCATAGCTTTTGCTAGGGGGAGAATTCTTTGTTTTAAAATAATTTATACTGATATCTTTTGTCTTTACATTTTCTAAATTTCACTCCTATATACATACTCCTTTTCTTCTTCCCATAAAACCATTCCATGTAACAACGAATTTTTTTAAAAAAAGGACAGAAAAAAATAAGCAAAATCTGTCAGTACATCAAAAAATTCAGATAATATATTCAATGTTCTACAACTATGGATCATACACACAGAGACACACATCTACAGAAGTGTAGCAGGTGTTTTCTCATGTCTCTTCTTTATCAATCAGTCAGTAAACATTCATTAAATGCCTACTATGTACCAGATACTAATGTTAAGCAGTAGGGATACAAAAAGAGGCAAAAGACAGTCCCTGCTCTCTAGGAGCTTAAAATCAAAAGGGCGAACCACAAGTAAATATATGCAAAATATATGTTTGGATTATAAGGAATTAAGAAGAGAGTAAAAGGAGGAGGAGTCAGTCTTGTTCTTTGTAACTTTATAACATTAATTTTCAATAGTTTTCTGCTTTTTTCCATTTAAATTATTGGATTTCTTGTGTATATTACTTGCTTGGCTCTGCTTACTTCACTTTGTATCCGTTCATGCAAATTTTTCTGTATTCATAATATTCATTGCTTCTTATGGCACCATAAAAATTCCATTATACTTATGGTTAAAAAGTGACTAAAAAACTTAATTGAGGTACTTTGTTTTCAGTTCTTTAATACCACAAAAAGTACTGTTATAAATATTTTGGAGAATATGGAGATTCTTTATTTTATATGGATTAAAAAGTTCACTTTTTAGCCCTCTTATTTGCATAAAAAAGACAAAATAAGGTATTTTAATTACATTCCAATGTAATTAAATAGGTTTTGCCTCAATAAAATCAACATATCTTGGACAAGAATGGAAATTGTTTATTGGGAAAAATATCTGAATATTTGTCTGATATGTAAGATGTACATGGAATTAATAAAAACATATAAGACACAAAGTCATTCCACTATGGTTAAATGGTCAAAGGGAATGAACCAAAAATTCTCAAAAGAGGGCCTTCAAACTATGAATAGCCAGATCAATGAATGCTCCAAATTAATAATAAAGAGAACATACAAATCAAAACAATGCTGAGATTTTACCTCATACTTAGAAAAGTGGTAAAACGGATAAAAATAAATAGTCAATTTTGAGGGATGGCAGGAGGACAAGTACACTAACACACTGTTAATAAAGTTATGAATTAGTCTAACCATTCTAGAAGTCACTTTAGAATTGATGTTAAAAAGTGATTAAAATATTCATATCTTTTGACCCAGATACTCCAGTGATGGGCAGTGACCTCCAGGGAAATCAAAGACTAAAAGAAAGTTCTCATATATGCCAAAATATTCATGGCAATATTTTTTGTAATAAAGAACTAGAAACATAGATACCCATCAATAAGGGAATGGCTAAACACATTATAGTACATGAATGTAAATAAGATACTATAAATAAGAACTTAAAGAAGCACAGGAAAACTTACATGAAATTATTTTTGTTGTTTAGT